TCCCGGGTCGGCTGGGGGGGGAGCCCCCCCCAGCAGACCAGGGAGACGCTGAGCAAAGCCGCGGAGTACACGGGCAGCGGGACAGTGGTTACCAGCAGACCAGGGAGACGGGGAGCAAAGCCTCGGAGGACGCTGGCAGTGGGACAGCCGCAGCGTGTCTGGGCTGTCCCGCTGCCCGCGTGCTCCGCGTCTCCCTGGTCTGGATGCCAGTTCCGACTTACATACAGATTCAACTTAAGAACAAACCTACAGTCCCTATCTTGTATGTAACCCGGGGACTGCCTGTAGTATTATTGACTAATACTAAGGCCCTGAGATATTTGTTAGCCCATCTATGCCACCATTCACAACAGACATAGGCACCTTTCTCTCAATATCTGTTGGAGTTTGTGCTGGACTTGTGTTAGGCAAGTAAAGTGCATGAGCCTGGCCGTCGGACGAACAAGGGGAGGCTGCCGGGTTAAGGGCTCTATAGGGAGTAACGTTGGCGGGGAGAGGAGGAAGACCCCGTCCTGCTGCCTCTCGGAGGAATTCCTCCTCCCACACCTGCCCACTGCGCGGCTCCCCAAGGAGCCCGGCCCATCCAGCCTTCCCACCAGAGCACAGAGAAGGGCAGGGTCCCTACGGGAGCCCCAAGGGAGCCGCTCTGGCCGGGGACAGGGAAGGACTCGCACTTCAGGACGAGGTGACCTTCAGCCGCTCAGCCCCGCTCCCTGCCCCCGGACACACAGAACGGCCGCGGGCTCCACTCCATCCTCCTACACGCGCCTCCCTCAGTCTCAGCCCCACGCTGCGGCCGAGAAGGGGGGCTGCCCTCGGCCCCCTTGTCCGACAGCAAGGCCAGGGTCAAGCCCGCCCGGCTCCCTTCCAGGTACAGGCACTAGTCGTTCTGCTCCCTCCCCCCCAGGACCGCCCCCCCCCGCACTCACCGAGAGGGAACGAGCGATTGCGGGGATGCCCTTCATCCTCTCCGCGCTGCTCCCACAACTGGGCCCCGGACCGAGAAACAAGATGGCGCTACCGGAGGAGGACTCTGCCTTCCCAGCATACACCGCGTCGCCTCGACCTTCTAGCGGTTAGGCGGCCAGCCTCTACTGCTCGAGATCAAACGAGACACACTCCTCGGCACGATGTGCGCCGGCGTCAGGCCGCAAGCCCCGCCCACTCCCTCTAGTAATTCCCACGCCCCGCTTTTGCACGAGGAGCAATCTGAGCCACACGGCTGGGCGGGGCTGCGCGCTGGGTTCAGTGCAGGCGCACTCGTGTGAATGGGGCGGCTCGGGGGTCTGGCTGAGCCCTCCGGTTACCTACTAAATAACAGAAGAAATACAACCCGTGCTCGTCCCTTTCCGAGGTGGGCTTAAACCGTGGAAATGTCGTAGCAGGTCCCAGCAGCTGGGGCGGGAAGGGAGGAACCCCCCAGCATGAGGATTAGCGAAGGGAAGCTGCAAAAACTGGTCCCGTGGGAAGCAAATGCTCCTTCACGGGAAAAGTTTTGCTCGTGTCCCGAGCGTATCAGCTGCCCCCTTGGAACAGGCTGCAGGGTGGGCTCCGACCGGGCTAGTTCCCACCAAGTCTCCCTTCGTGAGGCATCGGTTACCTCCTGTCCACATGCACCGTGGGTTTATTTACCCTCTCCCCGGGGGTGACCTGACCTCTGCAATGGGAGGGGTAATAGTGACCGAGAGCCGCACAATGGAAGCGCCCCGTGTAACGGTGTGGGCTTAATAAGGCGACAAATGACCCCTCCCCGCGACCTGTGGCGATGAGCCTCCTCCCCCCCGCCCCCACGTGATTCCCCGTTTCCAAGCTAAGGGGGGGCTGTCCGCAGTGATTGGGACATGGTAGCAGGGTCACATGCCCGTGATACTCCGGCATAGCCTGTGTACTCACTAGGTGGCGCCCAACGCGGCGCAATTGCAGCAGCCTGAATCCCGGGCATTACTTCCAGCGAAGCCCCAGGCGGGCACCAGATCCTGCAGCCGGAGGTGCACGCGTCTGTGCTGCCCGTCCCCGGCTGTCAGCATGAGCGCCGCGCCGCCCGTTTTCCTGGGCTCCGAGGTGGTGGAGAAGCACTTGCACCGCGCCAGCCTCCTGATCCCTTCGCTGGAAGCTGCTCTAGCCAATTTCTCCAGCGGCCCGGAGGGAGGCGTCGTGCATGCCGGTGCAGAAGTATAACGGGTAAGTAGAGGGATGCACCTCTCCAGGGATCCCCTTCCTGGGCGCACTCTGGGGCGCCCCACTCGCCTAGACTAGGAAATGTCACACAGTATAAAAGAGGAGAGACGGCAGGGCTGTAGAGAGGATTATTCATTATATTACAGATGGGGGGGAGGGAAAGTTGCTTATTAACTTCTTGCTAGTTAGCTAACATGGTAAAGTGTGGTGGAAATGTAATATTGTTTTGTCTTTCAAAGTTTTTTAGGGGTCATGCCTGCTTACAGTGCAGTGGATGATGCTCTAACAACTAAACTAGTGACCTTCTATGAACGCAAAAAGGATTCTTCTGTACACTCTCACCAAGCAACTGTATTACTCTTTGACCCAAGAAATGGCTCCTTAAAAGTTGTAAGTTCAGTGTGCACTTATGCATTCTCTTTTGTTAACAGTCTGTCACAATCATGCTTTGATTTTACATGACATAGCTGGAGTAAATCAACATAACTGTTTGCCTCAGGGGAGTCATTGCACATCATGCTCGCTGAGAATCTGGCATTCACACTTGTGTTTCATTCTCTTGTATCTGTACTCCTTTCTTTGTTTTCTAAAACTGATGATTCAAAGTGAAACTGTTCATTTGAAGAACCCTCCCCCTACTAGGGATATTAAATATTGGTTAATTGAATAGTCAATTAACCTCATTAATTCTTATCGGTTACTCAATTATTCTGTAGTCCCAGATGGTGGGGCCAGCAGCCAGTGTGTGATGGCCCCGCTCCCGAGGAGTGGCCCTGGCACTCTGTGCTACTGCCTCTGTATCAGAGGCAGCAGAGTGGAGTGCCAGGCAGGAGCTGCTTCACGGGGTAAGCCAGTTTATAAACCATCTCTCCTCGGACTGGCTGCCTGTCGCCCCATGCTGTTGCCTCTGCTACAGCTCAGGGTGGCAGCAGCCTCTGTCTGGGGATGGGGGGGGGCTGAGTTCCTGGACCTGGCTGGAACTGAGCAGGGCTGCCTGTCCACCTGGTTCCTAATATACTTTAAATGCAGAGCCTCAGTGGGGGTAGATCCCAGACCTGGCATGAGCCAGGACTGAGTTGGGCTGCCAGGCAGCCTGCTAAAAAAATTACTGGCAAGGGGCGGAGGGGAGAAATGTGTGTAGTCTATAGCATTAACCTGTAAGCTTTTGCTTATTGGTTAATTGGTTAATCAACTACATTATTATATTCCTTCCCTCCACACCATGTTAAGCTGATGTTTTAGCGGGAAAGAAGATATTGCCAAATAGCCTGAATTGATAAGGCAATGCAAGTTTTACTGTTAATCTCAGTGATAATGGGATGGAGGGGGGCCGTAGTAGGAATTTTTGGATATTTCTTAATTAAAAATTAGGATAATAGTTTGAGAAGGGCCAGAACAGGCAACCCAGGTGTTTTTATGCTCTGGTTTTTAATTTGTACCTGAAAAAGTCTGTGGCTCAGCAAGGCTCCACAATACATTTTCATAATGATAATTAAATACGTAGCACTAGAGTAGAAGCAGGGGAAAGGTATCTGATTATGGTTCCATGATTCTCTGCCTGGACCCTGAGGGATGTTTGCAATGGTCCCCAATTCTAGTCAATGTGTAGCATATTCTGGCCATACCTTCATTGCCCTGAAACACCCCAGTATTAGGATCCCCAGGAAGTGTCATATATAAAGGATTAAGTTAGGTCAATTCCTCTGGGATGATGATAACCAGTTTCCAGTCTCTTTATGCTATCTGAGTGTCATGAAAGGAATGGAGCAGGGAAGAGAATTTGCCAATTTTATATAGAATGTATTTGCAAGTGCTGAATTAATAATCATCTGCTCTCAGGTTTTCCTTGTCCCGTCACATGATATCAGTAAGCACTAATTCACAGATGGAGAAAACATCTGGTATTATGTTTTCAGAGTTAAGTTCAATCTATTTGATTTTTCTTCTTTAAAAGGTCATGGATGGCAGTGTTATTACAGCAAAAAGAACTGCTGCAGTTTCTGCGATAGCTACAAAGGTAGGTCTAATGCTTTGCAAAGTTGGTTGAAGTAGATTATCGGTATGTGACAAGGCAATCCCTGAGTGCTCTCCCGCAACTTGCTGTTGCCTGAGCCGTGAACCTGCCTTACTGGAGACTCTGGAAGAAAAGGAAAACTAACTCCCGGCAATCTTTTCAGGTACCAATACTCTTTGCAGCTTTTATTTATTACAAAAGTCCCAAAATTGTAATCCAGAATTCCTCAACACAATTCACATTCCACAGTATAACCAATCTCTCAAGTCTCAAAGGTCCATTAACAAACCAAGTACAGCTCTGATGTCTCTCACTATGCTTACCTCTCAGGTACAACTCCGGTGTCTCTCCAGTGTCCCTAGTTTGCTGTTCTGCTCTATTTCATTGTCATATCTGACTCTGGCTCTTGCTTGGAGACATCAGCAAGATCACCCTTGCGTTCTCCACCAGTCCTTAGCTCTCTCTTGTCTTTCAGCTAGCAGCACAGGAAATGCCACCTCTCAGCCTTCAGCCCCCTCTTTCCTCTCTAGTCTGGTGAACTGTGTATGTGATTCCTCCACTGCCTTCCATTTTCACTGGCCTGATCTGGCTCAGTGCTCAACCATGAAATTCACAGTTCATTCCTTCACGGTGAAACAACTGAAAGCGGAGAATTTTTTCCCCATGGCTGACTTCCATTTTGTGCAAATTGCGGGGAAGAGGGGTTGCACGACTTAAGAGCCGGGAATGGGAGGACTATATTGTATCCATTCCTACAAGTGTCAATGACTTTAGTGCAGAATGGATGTATACTGGGGTGACTTTTATAGCAGGGATGCCATGTAAACTGTGGGGTGTACCATAGACAGCAACTAGGAGGGACCAATGTGCACCAATGACCTAAACCTCTGGAATTGATTTGGTGAGATAGTGCTAGTAAGTCACAGAGGAAGGCAAATAACTACGAGGTTTCTGCCAGTATATCCTAGGGAAAATTCCTTCCTGGTTGAAAATGGCAATTGCTGTGACTCTGAGTATGTGAATAAGACCCACCAACTAAGCATTTCAGAGCTAGCAGAAGAATGAATTTTAAGTCTCGAGCCTCAAACTACTCTTGTTTGTAGCACCGTAACTAGGTATTTTTGCACCTGGGGCAAAATATTAATTCTGCACCCCCCTCTCTTCAGGTTAGCATGTGTCATGCTCTTTACTTTTGTAGCTTATTATTTTTACTTATTGCGTCTTTGTGCCCCTTACTATTATGTGCCCAGCATGTGCAGCCACTTGCCCCGCCTTTGTTATGGCCCTGCTTGTTTGTAAATATTGAAGTTCCTGTTCTTAGAGAACATCATCTAGAGTGTTCTAAATCAGGGATATCAGACACTGGTCATATCTGGCTGGGGCTGAAATGTAATCTCTCTTGTTTAGAAGGAAAAATAATTGTCTCAAATTGGCACCTTTTTCAGCAATTTGGCTCAGCTTAATATGTGCAAGTGACAAGTAGGAAGCTTCAGTTCTAGTCTTTTTCTTCCTGCTTTTTTCAGAGAGTCAATAAACAACTCTTTAAATCAATATTTGACTGAGGCTAGATTAGAGGATTACTGTGTGGGGGCATGGCTCTTCTTCCAAGTCCTTTATCCCAGTTTTGGGGGGCATATTGCATGTAAAAATATATGTCCTACAAGATTGTTAGATACAAGGCATTTCATTTTTTCTTTTATTTGCAATAATTTATAATCTGCAAAAATCTGTGGGATAAAGATTGTAATTTATAAGACTTCAGTCTGCCCTAGTATACCAGTGCAACCAGTGGTGTAAATGGAATTGCATGTAAGTGAATGAGATCCTATATCCTGGAGATATTTATACGGTTATAGCTTCCCTGATGTAGGTGTAATCCCCTCTGTGCCAATGTAGTGCATTGGTGTAAACCCTGTTTCATCCCAATGCACCATGTCTGCACTGGGGATTTACACTGGTGTAACTACGTAGATGTAGCTACATCAATACAAATACAAAAGTGCAAATTGAATCAAGGTCACAAAAAGTTTCTCTTAGGGATCAATCACCCCTCTGTACAAATTTGAAAAATAAACTCTCCAGTGTAAATGTACCCAAAATGGAGGGGTTTTAATTGACAAAATTGGATCATCATCACAACAGTGTTTCTTCCATGACTATTGCCATTGGTTTCTTTGATATATTTTAGTTTTTAATGCCAGCTGATGCAGAAGTGCTGTGCATCCTAGGAGCTGGTGTTCAAGCCTATAGCCATTATGAGATCTTCACAGAGCTGTTCTCATTTAAAGAGGTAAGCCAAAGGAGAAGAATCATCTCTCTCCAATATTTGTAAGTAACACCAATAAACAAATAAAGCATATAATAATCAGTAAAGTTGTATCTAATGGCTTCAGCATATTTCAACAAAATGTTTTTAAATAACATGATAATGCCTTGCGCTTCTATAGCCTTTACTCCTTTGAACTCAAAGCATTTCCATAACATATACTGGAAACAAAGTCAAGATTCAGACTTACTCTTTTCTCTATTTGAGGAAAATCCTACTCAATATGCCTTATTTGGACAAGCTCCTGAAACCTTGATCAGTTCAGATTTTCTATTTAAAATGTATTTTATAAATCAAAGGCTTCTATGAATTGTTACACTAGCATTGCATGATAATCCTAAAGATGTACGAGCATACACAAAATCTGTCCACCTGTTCTTTGCCAGAATGTGTAGTAATTAAGAAAACTCGCTGAGATTTTTTTGCTTGTTTCGGAGTTTTGCAGGGATGGGTTACTCAGACTATATAATTTCTACCTGCTTTTAATTTTGCTTTACAGGTCAGGATATGGAATCGCACCAAGGAGAATGCTGTGAAGTTTGCTCACTCAGTCAAGGGTCCAGTGCAGGTTTGCTCCTCTGCTCAGGAGGCTGTCACCAGAGCTGATGTGATTATAACAGTCACCATGGCAACAACACCAATTTTATTTGGAGAGTGGGTAAAATCAGGTGCCCATATCAATGGTATGCCAGGCCCTCATTAATTAGGGGGATTCTCTGCTGTTGTTTGTTATTGTAATTTTTATTTAGCTCTAATGTGCTCAGTGCTGTGATGTATAATATTCATAAAGAAAGATAGTCTCTGCCCAGAATGGTTTAGATTTTTTTTCAGAATAACTACTTCTCCTCTCTGAGCACAGTCCTGTTGGGTCCCTAGATTCAGTGCTATTTTGCGATTCTGCTGTTTTATGTTTGAATAGCTCGTAATCTCATCTTTACAGTGATGGCCAACAAAGAGTGACCTTGGTGTCTATTTCATCTTCGATTTAAACAATGCCCTAGAAACATGTTATTCCCAAAGTGACTTTTAATAGCTCTACTGTTTCCGTGGTATTTGTCATCTTTTCCCCTGCCCTGTTTTGCAAACTCTTCTATTTTTTCTTTGGGTCTGCATTCTTTTGATCTCAGTGGTAATTTTGCCTCCGTTACGGGCTGCATAAAAATGGAGAGAACCACAGGGTTTGGTCCCTTCACACTGTTCTTTTTTTTTTTTAAATTGTGTTTTCTGATGATGATGTTGTTGCTACCCTACCATACAGAGCCCCTGGGCTCCATGGCATTTATTTACATTCATTCATTTGGACTGGGTTCAGGTGACCTTGTGCACTTTCCAAGTGGTCTGGTAATGAAACAAAGACAACTTATCAAAAGAGACAATTTAAAAGAAGTTCCCACATTTCAAAAGCACCCCTCTGTTTTTCAAACTCTGTTTAATTCTTTGTCAGTGACATTGTTATCTGTGCTGTCTCAGTGTGTAGGTCATGCATACAACCAAAAGCAATTAGTGTCTTCATTTGCTGAGGCAACATATACACAAAGACCACCTCTTTTTGTTTTTTCCCAGAGACATTCCTACTGCATGAGTAGGCATTCTGACAACACTGGGGTTCTCACATCCCTACTGTCTGTAAAGTTGTATGGGGTAATTGTTTTACCATTCGTTTCAATATTATTTGTGTTTATTTGCATAAAAGTTGCTAATGCTAGTAGTTTTACATTTTTTTTTAAATTATAAGCCTTTATTCACAAAACTGAAGGAAAGGAAAGCTCTATGAACGAGTTCAAATTGTTCTGCATACACAGTTACAAGAAAATAATGGGTTTCAAAATTCCAGCTAATAATGTTGAGTCATCTTTGGCACATACATGTCTCTGCAGCAAATTGCTTCTTTGGTTTTGATCTGATAAGAACATAAATATGGCTCTACTGGGTCAGACCAAAGGTCCATCTAGCCCAGTAGTCTGTCTGCCGACAGTGGCCAGCGCCAAGTGCCCCAGAGTGGGCGGACCGAAGACAATGATCAAGTGATTTGTCTCATGTCATCCATCTCCAGCCTCCATTTCTATCCCCTGGCTAATAGCCTTTTATGGACCTAACCTTCATGAATTTATCTAGCTTCTCTTTAAACTCTGTTATAGTTCTAGCCTTCATGGCCTCCTCTGGCAAGGAGTTCCACAGGTTGTCTATGCGCGGTGTGAAGAACTTTCACTTATTAGTTTTAAATCTGCTACCCATTAATTTCATTTGGTGTCCTCTAGTCCTTATATTATGGGAACTAATGAATAACTTCTCTTTATTCACCCTCTCCATACCACTCATGATTTTATATACCTCTATCATATTCCCCCTCAGTCTCCTCTTTTCCAAACTGAAAAGTTTGTCACTTTAGCCTCTCTTCATATGGGACCCATTCCAAACCCCTAATCATTTAAGTTGCCCTTTTCTGAACCCTTTCCAAGGCCAAAATATCTTTTTTGAGGTAAGGAGACCACATCTGTACACAGTACTCAAGATGTGCGTGCACCATAGTTTTATACAGGGGCAGTAAGATATTCTGTGTCTTATTTTCTAGCCCTTTCTTAATAATTCCTAACATTCTATTTGCCTTTTTGATCGCCGCAGCACAGTGTGTGGACGTTTTCAGAGAACTATCTATGATAACTCCAAGATCTCTTGCCTGATTTGTCATAGCCAAATTAGCCCCCATCATACTATATGTATAGTTGGGGTTACTTTTTCTAACGTGCATTACTTTACACTTATCCACAATAACCAATCACTCAATTTGCTGAGATCTTTTTGGAATCCCTCACAGTCTGCTTCTGTCTTGACTATCCTAAACAGTTTGGTGGTATCCGCAAACTTTTACCACCTCGCTGCTTACCCCTTTCTCCAGATCATTTATGAATAAGTTGAAAAGGATTGGTCCCAGGACCTACCTTTGGGGGACACTACTAGTTACCCCTCTCCATTCTGAAAATTTGCCATTTATTCCTACCCTTTGTTTCCTGTCTTTTAACCAGTTCTCAATCCATGAAAAGACCTTCCCTCTTATCCCATGAGAATGTAATTTACACAAGAGCCTTTGGTGAGGGACTTTGTCAAAGGCTTTCTGAAAATCTAAGTATACTATATCTACTGGATCCCCCTTGCCCACATGTTTAACTCCTTCAAAGAACTCTAATAGATTAGTAAGACATGATTTCCCTTTACAGAAAGCATGTTGACTTTTGCCCAACAAATTATGTTCTTCTACATGCCTAACAATTTTATTCTTAACTATTGTTTCGATTAATTTGCCCGGTGCCAACGTTAGACTTAATGGTCTGATAAGTCAGATCTTTTAATTGCATTTCTCTATAGACATGTTACATTACAACAGTCAAGATCAAAATCACTTAATACAAAAGAATTATGAAATTCAAAGCATTTGCAAATGATTTGGGGACAGGGAAATGGAAAGTGGGAGATAACAGGAAAAGAGGAGTGATTGGGTCATTTACCTTAGATCTCCACATCCTGCTGAGGAGGATGTTGCACTCACAACATCCAGTAGTGAAGCTTTTAGTGAGGTTTAGCAGGAGAAGCAGGAAAAGGGTGAAGATCAGAAGAGATAGGGTAAGAGAAGACATGACAGAGCATCATAGCACCAGCCAGATCTGTTCTTGAACAGGTTACCAAACTGTAATACAGTGTGGTCATTTGCTAGTTCACTAACTTTATGGATGTGCTTGTAATTTGAAAAGGAGTTGGACTTGGCAACCTCAGAGACTGAAGACCTGTGATGCATGATCTGAGTGTTAAGCATTATTATTATCTGTAGCAGAGATGCAGTGATAGGGTGAGCTTCCCTGTGTTGCCTTCCTTGTCAGCCTTGCCTTAAAGCAGTGATGGGCAACCTACCCTAATGAGCGGGCTGAATGAGTAGCTTTGCTTCATCTCAAGTAGGCTGCAAGATTGGTGTAAACAAGATGGTCTCCCAGGATAGGATAGTTGGGCTAACTGTGTATGCGTACCTAGAGTTTGTGGGGTGTGCTGTAGCAGCACTTTGACTGGATGCTGAGGAAGCACATGGCTCTCACAGTCAGTGTTGTGTGCAATAAGTATGCACCTCATTTCCTGTGCCCTGGCTTTTATGTGTGTGTCACTTTAGTAATACTGGTAGGAAAAAAACCTATGCAGATGAAACCAGCATAATCTGGCAACCCTGTGCATGGACAACAGTAAATAAAATGTCTCAAAGGCCACACATAGTACCCCAGTGGGCTGCATGCAGCTCACTTCTGCCCTCATGGATTTCCTATAAGGTAGGGATGTAAGTGGGTAACCGGTTAACCCCATGATGCTTACCAATAACTAGTTAACTGGTGTGCTGTGGGGATTGCTTCAGTCAGGCCTGCCTTCCCCCCCGCTCACAGTATACCACTTACTGGTTTAACTAATTACACGTTATGTTTAGCCAGTCTACTGATTAAATGGGATTTTACATCCCTACTATAAGGGCAAAAGGTTAGCTGAGTCACCGTTGGTGCTGAGAAAGCATTTGGCTTGGTTGGATTTATATTAGTGTGTTAATGTAACTGGTGGGAGGTGGGTAGGTGGACACTGTAAGAATGGGGACATGCTGGTCATGGATAAAGCTCTTAGGGAATGCATCAGTGTAACCAATAACATAGTTTGTTCCAAGGAGTAGCAGGTTTATTAGCAGATATTTCACTGATTACTTTATAGATTCTGTGCAGAGCACTACCTCCTTTTCTCTGCCCCTAGTGTGACAGCTCCTCTTTGGCAAGGCTTTTCGGAGGAGTAGAGATGTAAGCAAGAGGGCAAAGCCTAAGAGCAAGAACTTGTCTAATGACAAATACTAACCAACAATCCTACTTCCCTTGAGAGTTCCATCTGTCATCGTGGATTGGCTTCCACCTGAGTTTTATTTTATTGTTAGCAGCCTGACCCTGCAAGGGACTCATTGATTTCAGTGGTCCTGCTCGTGCTTTAGGGATTTCAGTGGGAGCAGGATTAGACCCAAAAAGGGCTGAGGGAGCTCAGCAGGCATAACAGGAACTCAGCACTTTGGAGGATTAGACCCTAAGAGCTCGATCCTGCTTTGACATCAGTGGGAGTAGAAGGTATGCAGCAGAATCAAACCTAGATACACAATGTGTGAATGGAGAGAAGCCCAGAACTTTCCCAGTCAATCAGACTCAGTTCTTGTTCTGTATCAGTGAACTTGTCCTCAAGGTTAATTACAAGTTGTTTGTGCATAAGTGACGACAATGCTATGGAAAGCCATTCTTGACCTCTGTGGCACAAGACATGTCTCTGTTAAATCCATTTTAAATGTTTCTCTCTGAAGTTAATCACTTTCATCTTTTAGCTGTTGGGGCAAGCAGACCAGACTGGAGAGAGCTGGATGATGACATGATGAAGAATTCTGTCCTGTATGTAGATTCTCGAGAGGCTGCTCTGAATGAATCAGGAGATGTTATATTATCAAGGGTAAGTCGTAAAATGCTAACTTTTCTATCCTGGAGTACTAACTTTTGCTTTGCACCATTTTTCATTGCTTTCTGATCCATCCTTTACTAGATTTACACTGTCTGAGATTTTTATAGCTAGATTTAAAAAAGGATTCCAAATCTTTTCACTTTTATCCCAAAAAATCCCAAAGCAATTTATACATGATGAGACAATTTCTGCTCTGTTGCATCTATGTATCCCCATAACATAGTCAAATTGGAACTGCTTCTAGTGTGTGCAGACTGGCAGCCAAACAGATGACAGTCTCACTTCACACAGTTGAGGAGAGGGGACATTTTGTCATGCCCTTACACAAAATGCTATGGGATATCTTTTAATGTCCACATTTAGCAACTGAGTTTTCATTTTTAAGATTTCAGCTGAAAGACCAACACACTAAACTATATGAAATTCAGTTTATCTTTGTCAGCAAGGTAATAGGTCAGTCCTTTTGAGTGAAGAAATTCAAGCTGATGCTTTTTTTTTGAAAACCATGTTATTCTTCTGGAATTTCTGTCCAGTTTCTATATTACTTAACATCCATCCCTAACATCCATCTGTTTTACCATGGAAAGGGGTCAGTTACAGAACCTTTCCAGTATTTTATGTTTTTTTTCCTTTTCTTTTAAAATCACTCAAAACCAGTTTATTTCTCTCGATGGCTGTCATGGATATCAAGTTTAAATGTGCATTGGTTTCACAGGCAGAGATATTTGCTGAGCTGGGAGAGGTAGTGAAAGGAACAAAACCAGCCTTGCCTGAAAAAACAACAGTGTTCAAATCACTGGGTAAGAACAACCCCCTCCTATGTGTAAATCTGACAAAGAACAATGCCTTGTTATTTCCAAGTCCTTCTTGCCTATGAAAGTTGATGACCTTCAAAGCTGCAGTCCCAACACACTCTACAGAGGACAGTAGCCACAGCATAAGATGTGTATTTTCCCTCCTTTCTGACTAATATAATCAATGTTAAAAGGAGAGCAGACATGACAGAAAATTACATTGTCCATTTTGTTAAAGTTCCATTTACTCAACATTGCTTATTAACATAGCTCTACCCTAAATGTCCTACTCTAGTGCCCCAGAAGTCTGTTTGACTTGAAGGTGATGTGACAAGAAAGTGATATGACAGTATTGGAAGTGATCAGAAAACTGGATTACCATGGTTGAAGCTGAATCACTTGTTAGCAAGGCTCCATTGGTTCCTGTTATGGTAGCTTTTACAGCATGGATAGTTGTCCAATGGGAGTTAGATTGAAACCAATAAACTACTTTCATGCTGGGCCCCAATCTATCAGCTAGCTGATGCTGTTAACTTCTTGTCTAGTCATTCTGTTTTCCTGTGAAGTTAAATTATTTCATTCAACCAAAGTATTGGTTGTAGGTGACTTCAAATCTGTTGTATATTTCAGGGATGGCAATTGAAGACACTGTGGCAGCAAAATTAGTTTATGATTCCTGGTCAGCTGGTAACTAAAATGAAGAGCCTGCACTATTAAGAAGGACAGAACAATATAGAAAAAGTAGTTCACACTTAGTTTTCTTGTGCCATTTCTTTATAAGAAAAGGAAATTATTCCTGAGGAAGTAGAGTTCTTTATAACTTTTAATATTAAAATTACAACATATTTAATTTTATTCTTTAATATCAGTTATCTAATGTTTGTAAAGTTACTAACAAAAGTATTTCTGTGCATTTTAACATCCTGTGGAAGAACACACTTTGCGCCCTAATGTAACATAATCAGCAGAAAAACTGTGTATAGATTTCATATCTGTGAAGAGCTAATCAGTACTGTGGTAAAATACACTAGTGTGGAGACTGCAGATTAAATCTGGTGCCCTATCACTAAGCATAGCTATCTCACTTCAGATCCCAGTGGAACATGTTCTCTGCAAGACGAAAGCACCATCATTCATAAATCTTCCCATTCATTCTCTAGAGCAGGGCTACTCAACTTTGGAAGTCCTGGGGTCCACAATGATACTCATGCCGAGTGCCACAACGTAAGTGTGGTTGCATATGCAAATATATATGCAAATAGCTTTTTACACAGTGCCCCAGCACCTTCTCCCTGGGAGCTAGAAACACCAATGCCCTGTACCTATCTGTTCTAGCCAGTCCTTCTGCTTGTGTCTTTCAATGCTCACCCCTCCTGAGAGACACCTCGCTGTTGTGGAGCATGTTCCCAGTAGAGGCCATGTTCAAAGGATCCCACCCATGGGCTGCGTGTTGAGCCCTGCATAAACCCAAACTGCACTGTGGTCCGTAAGTAAATGGCCTGCAGGCCACATGCAGCTCGCAGGCTGTGTGTTGAGTAGCTCTTCTCTAGAGAGACCTGAATCTGGAATGCTAGAAATGTTGTAGGTTACAGTTAGAGTGTGTTCATGAAAAAGGATAAGTAGTTAATTAATATTCAGTGTCTTGCTATGCTAGGACTTAGTATTATCAGTATAAACCATTTTTTCTTTAAAAAATAAATAGAACATGTGCAATATTGTTTATTGGGAGATTTCCTGATTTTTCTACTAAGGCTTTCTTAGGTTAGAGCCATGCTGACTTATTCCAGCAGGTTAAACTTGCCAGAGGTAAGACAAACCTTTTCAGTGGTGAAGTTTGTGTCTTGAGTAGGTGAATGGACTGATAATCATGCTTTTAGCCATATGAACTTTGTTTTAAAGGAGCCTGTGTGATCCTTTCTTGGAAGGGAACCTACTCTGTTAACAACCCAACCATTTACATCTGTAAAAAGGTGGCTCTTGCCTTAGGAAATGAGCTCCTACCTTGGGCTGCATTTGTGTCTTATAAAATTGCTTGTCTCTACCTTTTATACCCTGTGGGTCATTAAAAATGTCTTCATTCCATGGGAATGTAGAAGCACAGTAATTTGTAATGCTGCTAGTATAGTATAGGGAAGCAGTCAGAGGTAGTACAGTAGAATTTATTGTTAAATCTTTAGGTGGTGCATGAGGAAATTTATAAAGAGAATAATGGGCAAAAGTCACAGATACATAATTTGTGTGCAAGTTACAAGCCTTATTTAAACCAGTGAGAAAAAGGGAGTAAATTGGATAGGAGTCTAATTTGTATAGATTCAGAGTTGATGTGTAACCAATACCTATGTCTTTTGGGTCAAACAATGCTCTCATTTACATGGGTGCAAAATCCATATGAACTCTAATAAAATAGTTCTTGGTCATTTTTCACTTGGGTATTATGTTAAATAGTTGCCAAAATGTGATCATTATCAAGATACTGCTATCAGATGGTTCACTTTCTGACTCCATATCTCAGTATTTTCTATTAGCATTTCCAATACTAGACTCAGAGGACCATTTAATTGTAGCATAATTGCAGCACGTTCAGAGGGGATTTCCAAAGGCGCCTAGGAACATTAAATGCCCAGTCCCACTGAAGTTCAGTGGGAGTTGAATACACTTTGCTCCCTTAGATCAAAGCTGGAATTGTGAAAGGATGCTATCTATTTTTCTACTTTCACAAATCCCAGTGGCACAATCTCAGGATGTGTGTCATGTGCAACTGATGTGTAAGTTAAAATGAAGGGGAAATTTTCCTTTTTTAGTAATCTTTCCCTTTATTCATTATTTGTGTTAATTTTTTTTTAGAAAATTAAAAACACTTTTTTCTACTTTAAATTGTGCTGCATTTTTCTGCAATTTTTAGCACTGCATTATCAACATGTCTGTCCCTTCTAGTAAATTACTTGATGAGAGAAAAGAAAACAAGCCAGCTCTGCATCACTCTTGAGACTGGACTTTCCAGTCTCTGGTAATGCTGCACATTTTGTATTCACTGTGCTGCCTGTCCAGTTTAAACTGTAAGCTCTGTGGGAAAAGAGCCACTGCTTCCATATGCTGTACAGGGCTGAGCACACCAGTGGGACTCAACACATAATTGCATGGGCATATAGTTGACTGGATTTTTTTACCCACAGTGTATGAAGCTCTGCCTGGTGAAAGGCACTGCATAATTATGTCACTATTACTAATGGGTTGAATTTTGGGTCAACTATAGAGACCTGTGAATGGGCAGAAGGTTTTTTTAAACAAGGAAACCTGCTCATGACAGAGCTTTGGGAAATGGCACTGCAGATTCTATACATGAAGAGCTAAAATACTCCAAATTATAGCATATTAACAAGTGGCCAGAGGGCTGTCCTACATTAGGAGCCGCTTATCAAAGGTGTCATTCTTCAAAGGAATTGCTTCAAGAAAAGGGTTTATTTAGTATTTAAAACAAAGGAACTTTTATCATGTGCTGTAAGCCCCCTCATAGGATTTTGCTGTCTGTGCTGTTATTAGGTGTTGCTGATCCTCAAAGGTGGTAGCAATAAAGCATATTTACGGGTGGAAACATAAAGGGTCGGGCTTTTTATGTGCCTAAAGATGCAATCAAAACAGGCAACAAATCAGCATAGATTTATTGCTGTCTGGTAGGGGTAGCTATGTAGTAGTACCATCTTTAGGCCATGGGGCAAAGTTGAACCAACTCCAGCTTGTGAATAAGTGTGGCTGGAATCAATGTACCTACTTTAAATTTCCGCAGCTTTCCCGTTGCAAGGAGGTCGATGGGAGAAACTCTCCTGTCATCATCTTTTTGTCCTTGCGACCCAGTGGACATCAGAGTCAGAGGGGACATGATTAGAGGTCAGTTTAGTTTTTCTAGACCCTCTGAATCCAACCTCCAGGAGAACAAGCTCCACAGCTCCGATCTCTCAGTAAGTGGAGACAAGGCCTATGTGATTTCACAGCTAGGCTGATGATGTGATGAGAGTCCTAAATAAACATCAGCCACATGTGTGGGGTACCAGGAATAAGGGAAGATTGCAAATTGTAACTGGATTCCAGCCCCCTGGAAAAGTCAGTGCAGGTAGAGGTTTAGCAGGTAAATAAGAAAAGGGAGGTATTCATGGGCTCAGTCCAGCAGTTTATACTCAGGCAAAATCCGTTGAGTTTTTAAATCAATTTGCCTGACTCAGAATGACAGGATTTGTCCCTTTGAGTCTTTTGGCAAATAGCCCAGCTAGGACACCCTCCAGCACATAAATATTTTCAAGATCTGATTTCTTTGTTAAACGTTCAGTCAATTACCTAAATGGGTTTTTTATGTGGGGGAAAAAAAATGCTGTCTGGTTTAATTAACGTGCTAAGCACTGCAGCAATTGTAAGTTGCACAGAATAAAACTCCAGAAAACCTGCCGAGTAGAAGTGTTGACACATCGGTACATTGCCTTCCACAGAGGAAAATGAATAGTGTTAAGTGTGGTTGAGGCAAGGAGATAGGTTGTTGAAGAGGAGGAGGAAGCAGAAAGAGAGGATCATGAAATGTGTTAAAAAGATTAAAAACTAGTGTCCAGTGTCTGCAAAGGCAATGTCAGAAAAGAAGTAGATACATTCATGGAGGGTAGATCCAACAGTGACTATTAGTCAAGATGACCAGGGATGTAACTGCCTGCTGAAAGCTGGGACTAGATGACAGGCTGTGGGCTATCTGATCCTTGCCCTGTTCTGTTCATTCCCTGTGAAGCATCTGGCACTAGCCACTATCCAAGGGCAGGATACTGAGCAAGATGGACCACTGGTCTTAGCCAGTGTTGCTGTGTGACGCTACGCCCTCATATTTTTGCAGAAATATGTTTTTGAATATGAATGTGCGTAGCTCAGAAATGCTTTATGCAAAATGTGGCATGTAACCTCTCGTTGAAAAGCTTGTAATCCACTGAATGTGTGTATTCAATTTGTCGGCATGTATCGGTTTTGTATGTGAACTTAGAAATATGAAGGGTAAACCTGCTTATTAATCTAGGTCTTCTAATGAAAGCTGGTACTTCAGGAACTTAATGGCCTGGTGCTCAAGACAACAAGCTGTAAATAGTTTTGTTTTTCCTGTAAACCCAAACTGTGGTTGGTCCTGTGAAGACATGTGACCATGCCACCTGGTTCAGGAATCCATCTTCAATTTTGTACTCTTCCAGAGTGAGGGGAAATAGGACAAAGGATTCCCGCCCTGAGGAAGTTCTATTTAAGGGAGAGGAAGCAAAGAGTAAGGGTCTTCAGCTGGCTTTGAAACTGCCTCCCCACCCTAAGAGGAGACACCAGGACACTGTAACGAGAACTGTAACAAGAGGGGTGGAGAAGCATTGCGAGGCCCAGCTCAAAGGAAAAGATCAGCTGTGGCTTATTAAGAACTGCCCCTGAAATAACAAGTAGGGTGAGAAATATGATTTGTAGCAAATTGTCTTCGTGTATTAGACTTAGCTGGCATGTTTTGTTTTATTTTTCTTAATAACTTACTTGATCCATCTGTCTTCACTTGCAATCACTGAAATCCTACTTTTTATGCTTAATAAAATCACTCTTGTTTATTATCAAACCCAGTGTTAATAATTGTTACCTGTGGAGGAACAATAGTTGTGCATATGTCTCTTTCATCAATAAAGAGAGCAAAGTATATGAGTAGGGACCTACTAATTACATTGCCTGACAAATGCCACACGGACCCATGGAATAAGCCCTTCCGTGAGAAATCTGATGTCGTTTTGTTCCTAGGAGTGCCTCATAAAAGAGGGCTTCCTACTTCTGACTGGGCAGGGCAAGAACAAGACCTGTCCCTCCCCTGCAAACTGCTCTGGTAGTGGAAGGAGGGAACCAGACCAGACCCATTTGTGGGTGCCTCCTCCTGCCGCAGGACACTGTCTGAGACTAGACAGAAGTCTGAGATTTCTGCAGCTGGAGACTTGTGGAGCTGGATCCTATCTTCCCTGTGCTGCTTGGAGGGCCCCATCAAAGAGGGCTTCCAACCTCAGATTAGGCAGGGGAAAGATAGGACCTGTCTCTCCCCTGCAAATTGCTCTGGCAGTGGAAGGCAAGGGGGACCAGACCAGACCAGACCTACATTTACTTCTTGGAAATTCCTGGAGCTTCAGGAAGCTCTGCAGTTGCTGCCTTCAGATTCCAGAGCTGAAGACAACACAGAAGTGAGGCTGACAATACCATGATCCCCCTCCCCCCACAACAGATTTGTGACTCCCATCTCCTGTTGGGTTGGGACCCAATCGTTGCAACATTGTGAAAATTTAGGTTAATTTCAGCTTTAAACAGCTACAAACATGAAATTCATCAATTTTCAAATCCTATGTTTGTGAAATTGTCCATAATGGACCGTGGATTTGGTAGCAGAGATGTGAAAGATTAACAGGCAAGCATCACCCTTAAGGTTCTGGTTAGCCATTAACCGGCAGGGGCTGGAGCAGCCTGTTTACAGTGGGCCTGGGTGCCCCACAGTCAGGTGCCTGTGCTGGGAGAGGGGGGAGTGGGAGGGGCTGCTCCCAAGTGGGGCTGAAGCATCCCCTCTCTCCCTCACCCGTACCCCCTTTAATCAATCAACTGATTAAACATAATATTTTACTGGTTAACCAATTAAATGGGATTTTACATCTGTATTTGGCAGGGCCCTAGTTATGAGCTTACTCTGGGTAGAGCTTTCATAGAGAGTAAGATGGATTTATTGAGGGGTTTGGACTCTATTTGTGGCTGTGCTCCTAGGTGCTATCAAGTCCCTGTAGCTGAGGCCTCCCAAAACCGAGCTGTTACCAGTGTCTGTGCTACTCTGCTGGGGGGTTGTTACCCCAACTCTGGGCTTTTTCTATGGAAACCAGAGCTTCTGGCTCAGCAGGAGGGGGTGTTGGGGCACCGCACAGGGCAGGTTGGTGGGCTCAGTGGTGTGATCAGCACATCAGGTGACTCTCAAAGAGATCTCTGTGATCCAGCCTGTCACAAGCTGTACTTAGTGTATTTACTAGGCTCACAGATGAGCAACAGGGCAATCCTGTAAGCATAGGCTGAGCTTTCCAAAGCTACCTAAGAGATGTAGAGGCCCAGCTCCTGAAAATCTGTCAGACTGACATCACTAGCAAAGTTGACTGGTTGAACCGTTGACTGGTTGAACCATTAACTGGTGGGGGCTGGAACAGATCCCTGCCTAAGCTCATCGAGTGAGGCCCAACAAGTACAAGGGAGGTTAAGAGGAGAGACTAACTCTCATCACACAGCCATGCATCCCTACAAGACATGGAACCAGAAGTTTCTAGAGAGGACTAAACTCTCTGAGCAATTGTATTTTGTAGACAAAATTGAGAGGTCTTCTCAATCCAGCATTTGGGAATAGGTTGGTTCTCCTGGAATCAAGGCCTCCCTATATAGTGCCATCACTTCCTTTTGAAGATCTATTCCATAATGAGGGGAGCCCAGCTGTGCACGTTCCATCTAGGATGGAGAGTTATTTTTCCTTCCCTCCTAGGGGTACATACACCCTGTTACATACAGCTTCCAAGTTGAGACTATGAGTGACCAGTAGAAAATACTGGGCATTAGAATTACAGATTCCATTAGAAATGGTAGGGCCCTAATTTCCAACACTAAACTGGGAAAATGCATTCCTAAAGCCACATCTTCACTTCCCGGAAGATTGCTGCTGCAGCGGTTGATCTTCCGGAGTTTGATTTAGTGGGTCCAGTAAAGACCTGCTAAATTGAATGCTGAGGGTGTCGTTGTTAACGTCAGAACTTCTGCTCCTCGCGAGAGCTAAGGGAAGTTGATGGGAGCGTTACTCCCATCAACTTTCTACTCTGAGGAAGCTCAGCATAAGATATGTCGAACCCAGCTATGTTTTTTATATAGCTGGAATTGCATACCTTAAGGCGACCTTTTGCTATAGTGTGGTCCTGACCTGAGACATCAAACAAGGGGCATGTGAAATAAAACAGATATAAATGCTACCCAACACTTCTCATCCCCTGCGAAAAAAGCCTACATCTTTTTGTAATTAAAGGACCTTATATCCATTACAGAACAGTAACTTTTGCACCCAGTCTGACAAGAAAGAAGACCATACAACTCAAACCCAATGTGGCTCTCTCAGGAGTTTTACTTTTTAAAAAAACTAAGGAACATTTCTTGAGCAGAGAGATAACATGAATGAGAAGAATATGAAAATTACTGTTACAATGAGTTCATTCACTCAGACCTATTATGGTCAGTGGGATACAGTCAGAAGCAAGATTAACCCCCCAGTTCTCAAATAGTTTCTGTGAAGACACCTTGCTGCAACATATTCAGAGTCTGAAAACTATCTTATTTGGTGGTACAGAAAAACAAAGTTTTCTGGCTGTTTAGAAATGCTTTGTGGTGTGTTGGTTATGAAGTGCAGGGAAGACTATTACTAATATTTTAAGTTATTAAGACTGGAAAAAGAAGATATGCTTAGCATGAGATTTAGGGGAGAAGGATGCAGCCCTGGAACTATTTCTTTTACATAAAAATGTGAGAACATGGAAACAGCCATACTGGCTCAGACCAAATGTTCATCTAGTCTAGCATCCTGTTTCTGGACAGTGGCCAATGTCAGGTTCTGAGGGAATGAACAGAACAGGTAATCATAGAATACTAGGACTGGAAGGGACCTCAAGAGGTCATTGAGTCCAGTCCTCTGCCCCCATGGCAAGACCATCCCTGATAGATATTTATCTAACCTACTCTTAAATATCTCCAGAGATGGGGATCCCACAACCTCCCTGGGCTATTTATTCCAGTGTTTAACTACCCTGACAGTTAGGAACTTTTTCCTAATGTCCAACCTAAACCTCCCTTGCTGCAATTTAAGCCCATTGCTTCTTGTTCTATCCTCAGAGGCCAAGATGAACAAGTTTTCTCCCTCCTCCTTATGACATCCTTTTAGATACCTGAAAACGGCTATCATGTCCCCACTTAGTCTTCTCTTTTCTAAACTAAACAAACCCAATTCTTTCAGCCATCCTTCATAGGTCATATGCTCTAGACCTTTAATCATTCTTGTTTCTCTTCTCTGGACCCTCTCCAATTTTTCCACATCTTTCTTGAAATGCGGTGCCCAGAACTGGACACAGTATTCCAACTGAGGCCTAACCAGCGCAGAGTAGAGCGGAAGAATGACTTCTCGTGTCTTGCTCACAACACACCTGTTAATGCATCCCAGAATCATGTTTGCTTTTTTTGCCATAGTATCACACTGCTGACTCATATTCAGCTTGTGGTCCACTATAACCCCTAGATCCCTTTCTGCCGTACTCCTTCCTAGACAGTCGCTTCCCATTCTGTATGTGTGAAACTGATTGTTCCTTCCTAAGTTGAGCACTTTACATTTGTCTTTATTAAACTTCATCCTGTTTACCTCAAACCATTTCTCCAATTTGTCCAGATCATTTTGAATTATGACCCTATCCTCCAGAGCGGTCGCAACCCCTCCAAGCTTGGTATCATCTGCAAACTTAACATCCAGTGATTCCTCCCCTGTCAGCTGTTCCCAATTTCTGGCAAACAGGGGCTAGGGACACTATCCTTGTTCATCCTGCCTAAAGGCCATTCGTGGGCTCCATGAAATTATCCTCCATGAAACTATTTAGTTCTTTTTTTAACCCTGTTATAATCTTGGCCTTCACAACATCCTCTGGCCCTTTCCTTGTTACCTATCTCCATACTCTTCCTTTTCCTTATGATCTAAGGCTACATCTAGACTGCATCCCTCTGTTCACAAATCAAGCACCTTGAAATTGATAATGAAGCCGGGATTTAAATATCCCGTGCCTCATTAGCATAAACCTGGCTGCTGCTTTTTTTCAAAATGGAGTTTTTTCGGGAAAAACCCCCCAAAACAGTCTAGACGCAGATCTGTCGAAAATAAAGCCTTTTTCGACAGATCCTGTATTCCTCAAAAAATGAGGTTTACAGGATCTGTCGAAAAAGGCTTTCTTTTAGCAGTCTAGACTGCTGTTTTTTTCTGAAAAAACTCAATTTCAAAAAAGCAGCAGCTGTGTTTATGCTAATAAGGTGCGGGATATTTAAATCTTGGCTTCATTAGCAATTTCGACGTGCCTAATCTGCATCCCTCTGTCGACAAAGGGATGCAGTCTAGACGTAGCCTAAAAGTCATCCATTCAAACTGATGTTCTTTCTTGGACCCATTGTGCATACTTAATCAGCTAGAAACCATTTTGTCTTTTTCAGTGGAAGATGCCTGAACAAAGAACCACACATGGCTTTAAAATAG